CTGACCACCAGGGGGCAGCTCCTGCATTGAGCGTCTGCCCCCTGGTGGTCAGTGTGCATCATAACGACCGGTCCTTCTGCCATTTCGTACATTTGCATATTAGCCTTTTATTATATAGGATAGCTAAAACATCTTTTAAAATCATGCCTACTATAGAAAAACACAATTTGGAAGAAGAAAACTAGGGACTGAAAATTAATGAAAAGGACAATGTATAAAACAGTCTTCTCTAGCAATTAGAGGTGAGTGGAAGGAATTAACTACTCTTCACCCCCTTCTCATTCCACGCCTTAGCTCAGGTCCTCAGTCTTTCGATGAGAGGTCACATCCTACAGTTGGGTTGATTTCTGGTGCCATTGCTAGTTCTAAGTTGGAATCTGGTTCTACTGCCTATTGTGAATGGGACTTTCAGTGATAATCTCCTTAACCTTGCCAGGCCTTAGGTTCCCAATCTGTCAAGCAGGAATACCAATTCCTAGGGGTTATTTGGGCTTATATTATGCAAAGTACCTAGTAGTACAGTAGCGTCTAAAACATAAGCTCTTGGCAACTATTCCCTTCATTAGTTCTTTTAAAAAAATTACTAATTCAATGTTATTTCCATTTTAAACACTAGCACATTATCCTTGGCTTTAGGGAAAATTCCCACCAATTCTATGTGTTCCTGAGATACAAGCCCATGAATACATTTGAGGCCAAGTAATCCAGAGACAGTTTATCCACAGAGTGAATTATTAAGACAGTTTCAAATAAGATCTGATAAACTGTCTATTAGAGGTTCAAAAATATCAGAGTGGATGATAGCTATAAAAACCAATACTATTTTTTTCAAAATCAGTAAACAAAAATAAAATGCCACTATGTATTCACCTACATATTAGCAGTTTATAGGTCTATGAATATGCTATGGTCTGCCAACGTGGAAACTGTTATGCTTATCCACCATGGATTAAGTCTAAAGTCTTCACATTCTTTACCTTAATTACCTTCATTAGTTCTTTAATCTCCTGATGCTTATCTATTTACGGTATACCTTGAAGAATGGTGTGCATATCTAAGCATTAATCTTTATAATAAGCATAGATTTATAATAAAAATCATCCATTCTCTGCTGAGTGTATGCTTAGTGCTGGAAAATAGGAATAATAGCAAAAGAAAAAATTAGTCTTTGTCTTGAAAAAGCTTTTCTGTAATTGAATTGCAGACACAATTTATAAGGACACTGTCCAGAGATTTTACAAACATATAAAAAATAACACCTGTAACGCTACACTGCACTAAAAATAAAAACCTTATTGAACATTTAGTGCAATGCAATGTAATTTTCTTTAAGCATCTTGGGTAGAGGTATATTTTAATACTGACATATTTCTAGTCGAAATAGTAAGTTTAAACTATTTAGCAATCAGCTACAGTGCCCTTGCTCTACAGGATGACAAATTACTAGTTGGTGGGTACATGACATATATTTAAAATCATAGATCGCACATCTTTATGTAATAAGATTTTTTTGTACACAAATACCCTCTATTAGGGATCTCCTTATGTATAAAACTGCTTGAAATTGAGCTTCCTTTCCACCTTCCTTCTTTCCTCTGTCTTCCTCCTCCTTCCCCTTTCTTCTTTTGTATCCTCATTTTTTTTCTTTCATTTTGATTGAGAACTCTATGAAGCAAGATTCCACTGATATTGGAAATAAGGACTAAAAATTTTGTGTGGCTGGTTAAAACAAGGTGTTTTTCATTAATCATCAGAAGCTACAGAAAAAATAAAGACATCATTTCACCCATTAAACTATTCTATAGTATAAACAAAAGGCATATTCCACAGAATAAGTATGCAGTTTTTCTAAGATTCAAATTCTTACCAAAATTTTGTTTTAATTTTTTGCTAGTTTATTTTTATAACTACTACATTAAAAATTTTATATAATATTAGACATGTAAGTTTACCTTAATTTTTACTCATTTAACTAACATGAACCTCTTTATTTATGTTGTATTATTTGGTGTATGTTTAAAAATACAGATTCCGAGTAATTAACAATAAAATATGTGGCCTAAATCTATACCTAGCACCGATATTAGCACTCATTTTCAATGATTTGACAAAACGATGAGGCCAGAAAGGTTGCCTTAGAAGCTTGGTTCATCTTTTGCGTCTAACTACTGAACATTGAACACACTCCCATAATTGTCCTTCTGAAAAGAAAGTGAACCTGAGGAAAGACTGTTTTTAGTCCTGTGTGACTATTGACCACTTAGATAGATAGGGTCAGCCTCTACTTCTTCCAACACTCGAAATTCAGGTTACAGAGCTTCCAACAGGACCATTCTGAGAGGAGATTTTAAGTACAATCCGTGGATACAGTGGAACCTTTATGCATCATGCTATCGGTAGCAACTGCCAGTCAGGTGGAAATGTTAGCCAAGATTTTTTCTATATTTTAGAGTTGGATGGGTAAGGAGCAAAAGCCCTCCTGTCAAACACAATAGTTGTAAAAGTACAAAAGTTGAGTAAACCTATAATAAGCCAGTTATTTCTGGATGTGAAACAGAGCACTGTTCATAAATGCCCCATGCAGTAGACATCCGGGGCAAAGCAGGACAGGAAACCGGCCTAAACATGGGCTACAGCAAAAGGCCACATTCTTCTAAGATACCTTCCCAAAGGGTCAGAAATACATGCCAAAGTAGCTGGCTAGCTCAGTTTCTCTTTCCAGTCAACAACCTTAATTATTTTCTATCAAAGTGATGCATGCTTTGGGCAGGTTTGTCTGTACCCAGCTGGCCTATAGTGCACACCTAATTGTGCGTGACAAGGAGAGCCCACAGTTATTGCTTAGCAGCATATCCTCTCACCAGAAGGTACACAAATAATATCGAGTAAAAGCAATTGTTTCTACTCTTTCTAGCAATATTTGCCACCGCCTATCAATCAAGTAGCTGGGGTGTGGAGGGGAGCAAGTAGAGTAGTGCCCATAGGAGCTTCTATCCCAGACTGTAAATCTAATTCTTATTTAGGTGTGGACCATTCTTCATAATACAGATTTTGGATTTTTCCAAAATAGCCTTAAAAGTAACAGGCACTCATTGCATTTGTGTGTGTGTGTGTGTGGTTTGGAGTAGCAAAGTACTAGGTGAACACTTGTCTTTAGGGATCAGATTTTTATCTGTGAAGATTTCATCCAAATATAATATCCATGGCCTAAAAATAACCAAACCAGGGCTAGTGCTTCAATCTTACAAACTTCTAAATTACTTCATGTATCTTTCTTCTAGGATGCTGTCCCCAGTTTAGCCTTTAAGGTACAAATCCTCTGGAAGCTTTTCCTAAATCCCAGTAGAATGCAGTAGACTGTACTCCTATAATCTTTTGCACATGCCTTTATCACAGCAGATAGTATACTCAGCTCCAATGTGGAGTTTGCTTTTCATCTAACCAATGGACCATGAGTTTCTTCAAAGCTCTGTTACGAGCAGTAATAGGCACTTAATAAACAATGATTAGATCAGTGAATGAATGAATAAAATGTGCATAGTCAATTTGGTTGAAGTACTGCATTCTTAAAAGTGTTGGTAAGAGATAAAGAAAAAAAAACAGATTGAGTTCAGATATTAATATTTCAAAATACTCTTTAAGAGTCCCTGTGAAGAACACTAAGCTATTTAGGATAACTGATCTTGAGATACAGTGACAGTCATAGTTGCTTGGAAGATTCAGCTGAATATGTAATTTGGACAATAATTTTATATTGGAAACATCTGTATTTGCTTATATCACTACTAGAGGCCTGGCCTGTATCCTCTCTCAGTCCAGGACCCCTCGGGGGATGTCCACCTGCTGGCTTAGGCCCGCTCTCCTCAGGGAGCGGGCCTAAACCAGCAGTAGGACATCCCTCTCACAGTACGGGACCTCTCACTCCTTACGGCCTGCCTGCATGCTGCTCCTTACCACTCAGCTTGCTGCTCCTTAGCGCTGCCATAGAGGCAGGAAAGGCTCCCACCACCGCCGCTGCGCACTCGCCAGCCATGAGCCCAGTTTCTGGCTGAGCAGCGCTTCCCCTGTGGGAGCACACTGACAACTAGGAGGCAGTTCCTGCATTGAGCATCTGCCCCTGGTGGTCAGTGCACATCATAGCGACCAGTCATTCTGGTTGTTCCACTGTAACAGTCACTTAGGCTTTTGTTATATAGATTCTGGATTATTCTATTCCTCTCTTTTTTAGTGTACTCACCTGAGACATAGAATTATATCACTTACCCATTATGTATAATGTTTATTATAAAAATATGAAAAATAGATACAATTTGTGATCTTTAGATGTTAAGAGGAAATTGTAGATATTTTTGAAGTAGGCTTTCCCAATTCTTACACACAACCTGGTTGACTCTTTGGCATTTTTGGACAATATAAGCACTTGCAGGCTACAAAGGCTAGTTATGATACAGATGTATGAATTGTCAGCAAAGTTTTTTTGTAAAGGTCAAGAGAGCAGACATTTTTGGGCTTTGCATTATCTCCTCTCTGTTCCAAGTGCTCAATTCTGCTATAGCCATGCAACAATGACATGTAGTATGTAAGCACATGAATGTGGCTGTGTCCCAATAAAATTTTATTTTAAAAAAAGACAGCTGAGCAGGATATAGTTTATAGGCAATACATTGTTACTCCTGACAATTGTTACTCAGGCCAAGGGTGAGAATAAATTAATAAAGGTTCTTAACCTCCCCAGACATTAGCTTTGGTGCTAGGAAAACATCTCATTCTTATAAACTCTCTTTGCTATACAAAGAACCTGATCATTCCCATTCCTTTTTATTTTAAATCATTTCTCGATGTAGGATAATCTTACATGATGCTGTATCACACCAAAGAAGTATTATCATAAATTAAATCTTGTTTTTTGTTTCTAAAAAAACAATAATTAGTTCAAAGTAATTTGCATTTTCAGTTAGGGTCCTGGGACTAGAACATCATGCTTTGCTGAGAACACTTACTGTATACTTGTAATTGTCCACGAAAGGAATTTTTTCCACGCGAGTTTTCAGCTCTGCACTCATATACGCCTGCATCATCCAGCTGCACATTGGGTATTTCCAGCACTGCCTGAGATTTCCGCAGCCGTGCCTTGCTAGGGATATAGCCATTAACCTTCATCCATGTAATTGTGGGAACTGGGCTACGATAAGGAGCAAAACTATCGTTAATATACTTTCCACTATTAGGAACAGAGATTCTGTTATCTGGTAATTTAAGCACTTAATAGGCTGAGTGCAATAAAGTGTAATCACAATTAAGGACCGTGTGCTGGTTGACATATTTCACTTTCCATGCGGATTGTCTGATAAGTAAATAGTTAGATGCCAAGGAAGACAGTTCCCTTTCTTTCATATTTCAGGAAGGCAATTCATAGACAATACATATACGTGTTAATACATTATACTTTATTTTTAAAAACCTTTGTAAAATTATTTAAAAGCAAGTCGGTGAAATTACAAAATAATAAATACTTATAGCAAGGGATTGAACAAGAGTTTGAACTAAGTGAATTAAGAATCTTTTTTGGCCTCCACTCCTGAAGATATCTTCCTTCTGCAGCGACAAATACAGTTTGCATGTAATCTCTCATCTGTTCTGTATGATGAACATACACATATGATGATATTTTTGTTTTGTCTAAACATGTAACTCATATGCTGGATGTTTATTATTTTTATTAAAAGATCAAATCCAAGATCAACTCAGGACGTACTCTGGTTAATAGCTGCATATTATTCCATTGTATTGATGTATCAGAACTTAATCAGCCATTGCCTATAGTTAAACATTCAGCATAGTCCCAGTTTTGATTTGTTTCCTTTCTTTGCCACTAAGAAACAATATTACTACAAACAACATTGCACATCTATCACGGACTATTGCTTTTATTTTCTGCAGCAGGCATTCACAAAGGTGGAATTGATGGATCAAAGGGCATGCACATTCTTCATTTTAATAAGTACTGCCAGATTGTTTTTCAATAATATAGTGGCAGTCTCCACACCTATCCGTAATATATGAGACTGTTTCCCCATATCCTTGCCACCATTTTGTGTGATTAATTGTTTAATTTTTGTCAGTATTGAAGGGTAAAAAATGGCATTTGATACTTTAATTAATATTTCTCTGAACTCTAGGAAGGTTGAACATCTCTTTGTAATTTATTGGCCATTTGCATGTGCTTTTCTGAGATGTTTGCTTATGTTACTTTTCTAATTTTTCTTTCATTTTTTCTGTTTCCCTGTTTGTATTGTTTAAATTAATTTCTTCGAGTGTTCTGAGTATTAGAATAATGAAGATTTTGTTTCTCAGAAAAATTCTGTGATATAATTCTATGAACATTTTTAGGAGAAACAAACATCTGTAGTTTTCTTCATGACTTCTGAATTTTTGTTTTTTTAAATGAAATTACCTACAAACCCATGTTTATGTCCATATTTTCTGCAGTATTCCTAGTAATATTTTCAATTATTTTTATACAGTTGGATCTTTGATCCACCTGGACAATATTCATGTTTGGGGCGTGAGACAGGGAATGCAACTATTTATTTTAGTATTGTTAACACTCCCTTCCCCACAATATTTGGGATGTTGTGTTTGTCATATAATTGGTTTTCACATACTTGACTCTGTTTCAGGCTTTTCAGTTCTGTTCTGCTGATTTATTTATTACTATCTATATTTAATGACCTTTCTGGTCTGGACCTACTCTACTTTTTCAGTTTGATTTCTCACTACTTCTTTTCACATTTCCTGACCCAGAAACACATCTCTGTGTGTTTCCAATCATATCCGTTAAAATCCTACTGATCCCTTGAGACCCGTCCTAAATGCCTCCTCTTCAGCAGTCTTTCCTTATTTGTGCAGTCTACTGGGATTTTTTTTTTTTTTTTGCTTTGTGTATATTACTTGCATCTCTTGTAACATTCTACCATACATTATATACTAAGGATAGGATATTTTTCCACAAATTTTCTTTACAGGGACAATGGGAATGTTCACTGTTATAAACAATGCTATGATAAAGACCATGTGTGTTTTTGAACATCTTTCTGACTTATTCCTTAGCAATAAAACAGAAGTGAAATTGCTGGATTTGGGTTGATAGTTTTGCTTGTTTGTTTAGGTACATACTGTATAGACAACATTCAGGAAGACTGAACCTTGCATTTTTTTTGGAATAATGCTTAAGTTGGCATGGCATATCATTCTTTTAATATATATGAAAAATGATTTATGAATTCTCAAAATTTATTTTTAGAGATAGAGGGAAAGAGAGAGAGAGAAAAAACATTGATATGACAGCCTCCTGCATGCCCCCCTCTGGGGAGCAAGCCCATAACCTGGGCATGTGGGGGGCCTGGAATAGAACCAGCAACCTTTCAGTGTAGGGGACCACACCCAACCACCTGAGTGGGCATTATTTTTTAATCTAGGATTTTTGTGTCACTATTCAAAGGTGAGATTGTATGTAGTTTATTAAGTTGGTTGGTGTGTGTGAGTGTGCGAGTGTGTGTGTGTGTGTGTGTGTGTGTGTGTGTGTGTGTTAGTGAACTGGTGGTTTGTTCACAGGCTAGCTTTGACAAATTATGTCTCACAGTGATGAATGATAGCTTGGGAAACATGCCAGAATACTTCCATCTCCTGTTTTGATAGCTTAAATGGTAGAGAAATTATATGTTCTTTAGAATACTGATAGGACTCTCACAAAAAGTCATCTGGGTCTGCTACCATCAATAAAGTTAGGGTGTTGTTGTTTTTTGCTTGTTTGTTTACAAGTGTTTTCAATTTCTTCTTTCTACTTTAATTATGTTGTGTTCAAATATCTGCTGCATCAATGTTGGCAATTAATATTTTCCTAGAAAATCAACTGTTTCATCTATGATTTCTGTGTTTTATAAATAGTAACTGTTTAAATCTATTTCCTTCTTATTTTATTTTCTATTTTTAGCAATCCATGATGCCTAGGAGCACTGGCCTTCAATGATACAACTAAGGTTTAAGTACAATTTGGACACAAAGATGCTGTGTAACCTTAGGAATGTTATCCAAGTTCTATAAATTTTGTTTAACGGATATATTTTAGAAATTAAAAAGACCAAATATGTTATTTTATATTTACATACATTTGCTTAAAAAATTCCTGCTCTTTATTTCTTTTTGAAAATTGGAGTTTTCAAATAGTGTTAGCTTTCTTTCAGCCTACATACGTTTTTGTTTTTTTTTTCACAAAATAGGCTTCTTTTCTATGAAAGTATAATTGGTATACAATATTATATTAGTTTCAGGTATACAACAGAGTGATTCAACATTTATACACTGAGTGGCCAGATTATTATGACCACCCCATCAGTACAATGAAGTGAATTAGTTATGAAAATAATACTAATAATAAAACCTTGAGAGTATTTGCTTAAGAAGTTTTCAATATTCAGTATTTTTGGAAGTGTCAATGAAGTACTGATGGGGTGGTCATAATAATCTGGCCGGTCATAATAATCTGGCCACTCAGTGTATATCTTACGATGTGCTTCCCACACTAAGTGTAGTAATCATCTATCACTGTGCAGTTATCACATGTAATTGAATATATTCTTCTTCACCTTTTCAATCATCCCTCAATGTCCCTCCTCTATGGCAACCATCAGTTTGTTGTTTTTATGAAACTGTTTTTGTTTTGCTTATTTTCATTAATTTTTATATTCAGCATATAAGTGAAATCATGTGGTATTTATCTTTCTCTGTCTACTGTATTTCATTTAGCATAATACCCTCTAGGTTCATCCATATCAAAAATGGCAAGATTTTGTTCTTTTTTATTGCTGAGTAATATTCCATTATATATACATACACACCACATCTTTTTTATCCATTCCTCTATCTATGGACACCTAGGTTGCTTCCATATCTTGGCTACTGTAAATAATGCAGCAAAACATAGGGGTGCAAATATCTTTAAAATTACTGTTTTTATTTTATTCAGATAAATACCCAAAAGTAGAATTGCGGGGTTAAATGGTAGATCTATTTTTAGTTTTTGAAGAACTCTATACTGTTAACATTTCTTATAGTGCTGTCTACTAGAAGAAATAATTCAGGTTTTGTTTTTTTTGACAATATCTTTATTTTGCTTTCATGTCTGGAGAATATTTTCACTGGATTAAAACCTCTAGGCAGACTACTCTTTAAAGATTTTCTTCTTTTTATCATTGTTTTTAAGCAATTAGATTATTATGTACCTTGATGCATTTTATTTTTGTTTATCCTGCTTATGTTTCATTAAGCTTGGAAATCTATGGCATTATATTTTTCAATTATGTGATAACTTGGGGGCTTAATCTTCAGGGCTGTTGTTTTGTTGTTGTTGTTTTGTGTTTTGTTTTGTTTTTTGCCTACCTTTATCTTCTAGGACTAAACTTTCATCTATGATACTTTATGAGTTATTTATTTATTTGTGAGCACGTGGATATTTGGTTTTTTGTTTTTTATTTTTTCTTATCACCATTTGTCCCCTCTATGCCCTCTTCCACCTCCAGTCTCCCCCTCACTCCCCTGCAATCACTACACTGTTGTCTATGTCCATGAGTTCTCTCTCTCTTTCTTTTTCTTTTCCTGCTTAATCTTTCCACCCCCTCCAACACCTCCTCCCCCACCAGAGACGTCTGTCTGCTCTCTATAAGTCTGTTTCTATTTTGCTTGGTAGTTCAATTTGTTCATTTAATTCTACATATGAGTAAAATATACTTATCTTTTACTTCTCATTTTTTAGCAGTTTTTATTAGAGGCTATATATTGTCCAGTGCCTGAATTTTAGCTTTATTTTTAAACTAGAGGCCCAGTGCATGAAAATTCATGCACTTGGGGGGGGGGTCCCTCAGCCCAGCCTGCACCCTCTCGCAGTCCAGGAGCCCTCAGGGGATGTCCAACTGACAGCTTAGGCCCACTCCCTAGTGTGCCTAAGCCACAGTCTGGCCTCCCTCTGCAGGAGGCGACCAGTGGGCCGATCAGGGGACGGTGCCGGCAGCGATGGTTGGCACTACCCCCTAATCGCCCCTCCACCACCGGGGGTTGTCGCCGCTGCCTCTGCCCCCAATCGCCATCCCCTCCCTCTGCCCACTGGCATGTGCCTTGGCTGGCCTA